GCTGGCAGTGTCAATGGAAAAAGGTTTGAGATATATATATATATACACACACACACACAAATATATATATATATATGATATACATATAAAGAGATCCATGTGCCTGCTACTTACAGTATCAGGCAAAACAGCTTTTTATAACACTAATATGTGGCCTTTTAACACAGCACTTACTGTTCACATGCAGCCGGGAAAGCCTTCAGAAAAAGAACAGGTGCTGAACCTCATAACAGAAAACTCTAGGTTTAATAGTAGAGGCTTCATTTTTCTAATTTGTTTTTCCGGAAGATGATTTACATCTGTAAATATCAAGTGTCCTCTATACAACGCCTCATTTTTTTCTATTATAGGAGATTATGGTGTGTGTATATATATATATGGTATTATATATTTGAGGTCATGACAAATTTCAAGGATTTATTAAGATCAAGAAAGTTTTTAAGAAAGCAAGAATGTATGTACCTTGTGGCATACCTTGTGCTAAATCTGAAAACCCTATTGTTGAAAATGTTAAAATAAGACACATAGCAGAGCTGTGATGATAATGGAGATGGAAAAAGCTACAATATGACAAAGCATGCAAGATTAAGGTAACATAGTGTGGCACACCAGTCATACATCAGACTGTGTTCCTGGTAAAAAATAATAATAATAAAAACATTATGGAGCCACTCCATAATCCTCTGGACAGCGTTATGCAAATAAAATAATTAGTGAAATATTAACATTTGCTACTTTTTTTTCCCCCCCACTTTAATTCCTGAATATCAACTGTGTAGAAAAAGTTGCATTTCATTCTTTTCACGTGACTCATTCAATACTCATTTTTTCCCCATACTGTTCCCAGCTATGCATCACTAGTGATGACAATGCTTGTACGTGGATTTTCTTCTGTGCAACCTTTGTTCATAGTTGAGGAGTCTTAAAAAAACAAAACAAACCCAAAACAAAGTGGAATATTTTCAGGGAGGAATCAATAAGACTGAGGAAATTGGTGAGGAAGAATTTTTATGCTCCTTTAAATGACTGATGTGCTGCATTCAAGAACTAGCTTGATTTTAGTATTTGTGTGTTCTAATGCATGCACTAAGCTACAACTACTCTGAAAAAAGTGACTAGGTATTGAATGAAATCAATTATTTATAAATATATTATCCTATAAGTCTCATAAGCCATCACTGTTCTAATAAGGTAATCACAAATTAGATTTAGAAGACTACTTAAATTACCAAAAAGAACTACTAATTCAGATTTTCAAAACATCTTGAACAAGTTAGACAAAGTTTAACACAGAAATTGTTCTTAATGCTCACTCAAACTACCGTAATATTTCATTTCAAGAACACTTGATAAAAGCATTGTATTTTTCAGGTTATAAATTCTGAGGAATTTGTTCCAGTCTGTTCTCATCCCACAGAATTTGAAATATCGAGCAAACCTGCTCAGCTGAAATCTGTTATTAATGACCTGCTCAAACAGTGTATACATTTGACATGTTTTGGGGGTAAGAATATTATGAGGAACAGGGAGGTATTCTTCAAACAGGAAGGAAAGAGAACACGCAGAGCAAACATTACCTGTTTTCTGATGTTGCTGCAACATTTTCCTTGCCTCTGTGAAAGGAGGGGATACAGTATGAATAAAGCAAGTGCAATATCCAGTGGTGGTTAAAAAAAAAAAGAAGAAGAAGAAGAAGAAGAAGAAAAGAAAAGGAGCAAAGAAAGATGGGTTGAGGAGAAATGTTTGGTTGCTGAAAGCATCATAGAGTGGTTGCCTGAGAGTATTACAGCCATGGGAAACACGTTCAGCTCGCCAAGTGAAACTCAGCAAATATGCAAATTCACCATATGCCTTTTTTCGTTTGCAAACAACTCTGTTTCGATATTAAAGTCACACTTTGCACGTGTAATATATAATTGCAGGTTTCGTTTTGACTGTAGTAATTTCCTATTTAAACTAAAAATTCAAAAAAGCTCTACTGGAACATATTCTTATGTCCATTCCAAGTGGTAAAAAGAATCAAACTTGGGTAAGCCTGCTTTCTAAAAAGAATCTGCCAAAACAAAAATTTAATTATATTAATATGTTGAACTCCAATCAATGTCTTAGACTGTTTGAAGCACTAATCCTAATACTTTCCAAGTTATTATTTTGCATGTATTATTTCTCTTTGTCTCGATAGACATTCATATGCACCCCCTACTTCCTTCATTTAGCTCCCATACAGTTATAAAAACCAGTACAGTTTACATCAGTGAAGATTTGGGCATGTCGTCTTTTCTAACCTCTCATCTTTTAAATTATCTCCTAACTAAAATGTAACCTCCAAAACACATGAACTGAAGTCAGACTTACAAACTCGGAAGCAGCTCTGAAAAGACGTATTGGTTCACCACTCTAAAGCAATGAGAAACCAAACAGTATCTTCACAGATAAACAAGTGGTAATTTCACTGCCATGTCACGTGTACAAAAGCTAGACTAAGGTGGAGGGGGAGGAATTAGGAATCAGGGCTTGTGAAAGAAACGAGTTCATACACCAAGAGCCATAATCATGCAAGTATGTTAAAAAAACACAACCATAGCCTGAAGAGAAGAAAGCGTGGCTTATTTCCAGCATTCATGTGCTAGGAAAATACCAACAAGACCACAAGGCAGGCAATTGAAGCAAGGCTTCCAGCAGCAGCAGGCTCTGGTGTTCCTACTAAGCGGCTGTGACCTTATACTGAAGAATGGAGACAAATGACACTTGCTTTTCAGGTCAGGATTTCACATAAGATTTTTTCCCTGAGTGTATAAGCATTAGATAATATAGAATGATGATCACAGGGGAGTTGTGAAGGTTAAAGAGAGAGGCAACTAGAACAGTAAAAGTACTTCTAGAGTAAAGCAAAGGAAACCTCAAAAAGGAGAGAGAGAGCCTCAAAGCCACACAACCCTTCTTCGCTGCTGAAGAGTTTTGGTTTCAGGAATTATTTCTCTTCCCAGTCAAAGGAAATAATTCCTGTCTGACTAACAGTGAAAAAACAATGAAGATGCAGCTGCTACTGTTGATATTTGCATTTTTAGAAACAGGCTATCAGATTTCTAGCATTTACAACCAAACATTTTTTGCTGTGTAATGAATTTGATTTTCAAGTCAAATACATCTCTGAGGCAAACGCAGTAAAGTCAACAGCTTTACCTCCCGAGAGAATTTGGCTCAGACTCCTTGGAGCAGTTTGTACCTTTGTGGTTACACAGGCTGCTCCAAGCAGCGAGCACGGTACAGAGTAGCTCGGAGCTAGCTGGCAGGTTTTCCTGCAGCCCCCTAAGCCGCTGGCCGAAAGGGCTTATTGACAGAAGGGTCTTTGTCATTGACTGTTCTAAGAGAACAGTTGAATCTCCCACAGGTTTTATTAGATATTGGTCATGCATCTCAGGGGAGACTTGTGTGCAATACACTGTCAATGCCAATTATCCAGTGGATATTTTGGAATGTATTGTGCAACATTTCCCTCTCAGAGAAGCCCACTACATCAAGTGGTCATAAAGACAGGGCAAGTGAAATGACTTAGAACAGAGTATTTCCCTCCCATGCACCAGCAAGTGTAATACTAGTGAAGACTTAACATAACTAAATGAAAATGCACCTGCAAACCAAGCTTGTGTGTTCTACTGTATCCTAAAAGAGCTAGAAACTTGCTTTTACTAAGTGAATTTGTTCAGTCTGAGTTGTATGCAACAAAAGCAAAATACTTTCCATTTTGTTCAACACTTGGAAATCTAATGTAAAAGATTCTTGAACAAACACATTCATGTTGCAGCAGATCTGAGATGCTGAGCTTGGACACTTTCCATCTACCCCTTAGCGAATAACAGATCTAGACTCTTCTGAACCATTAAAATATTGTTGAGATAGAATATTTCCTGAATAATGAAGGTCTGGTGACATAAGGAACATTAAATATGCAGAGATTGTGTGCCCCTTTAACTCTTTTCTGTCTTTCAGTACCAAAGCAGTAACTAAAAAGTCAAACAAATATTGTTTTATTCTCAGCATTTTACACAGGAGCACAGCATTTTACAAAGGAGGAATTACTCAGGATGGAATTGCTCATGGTCAAAAAGAAGATCCATGGCAGGGCTAAGAACTGAAATTAGCTCTCTTGAATCCCTATTGATTATTTTAAATATCAGTTCACCATCTTTAATCCTTAAATGATTCACCCTCCTTAAAGCCTAAGATTATGGAATTTTGTAAATGCTACTATTCAGTTTATCACTGTTTGCCTGAATTGATCATCCAATAGTTTCCATCCATCCTAACCAGTATCAGCTGGCCCTTTTCACATAAGAAAATAATTATTAGGACACAGAGCTTATTAAAATCTGTATCTATAGAAATCCACACCTACAAAAAGTCCTGCTTTTCTACTAGCATGTTGTGGATATGCAGGACTTAGCCTTACCAAACTTGCAATAATTTTCATTCTAATACATTTTTATATTCACATAAAAATTTGCCTTTCTACAAAATAATTTAAAAAGAATTTTTAACATGGCAGCCAAAAATAAATTTGCAGCAAGGCTATTTCGTAATTGCCTTCCAGACGTTTTTGTCTTGAAGGCGTGAGATACTGAATGCTGCTAGGAAGTGAACACTGAGCTGGACTAGACTGTTCTGATCCAGTGTGACAAATTCTATTTTCCAATGTTTGCAGCTGAGAATCCTCCCTTGGACACATGAATGCCAAACGACTGAGAAGGGTTTCTCATTTGATTTTTTCAAGCTGCATATTTGTAACTGTAGCAATCCAATATCTTTAACAAAGACATCACAAGACAAACACAAAAAAAGAATCTTAGGCAGTTACTGCAGAGGATAAAAGACTAGATGATTAACATGCTGGTTTAGTTATGACTTTAGTTTAGAATCAGAAAAAAAGGGATAGAAAAGCTAGTCTCTCTTTTTCAGCCACTGCAGTTAAGAATGTGAGCAGCCCACGCCAAACCAATATCCTGCTAGGAAGTTTGCTTTCCAAAACAGGGAAATACTTTTCTGCCAGAAGGTACCCTGGTTTGTGCAGACTGTGCCACAGAATAGGAAAAGCATCGTCACATATTCAATGAAAAAACAAAACAAACAAAAACAACCCCAGCAACTCATTCTCAACAGCTAGTATGGAATTAAAGACAAAGCAGCTCCCTAAATCAAAACGAATCCCTCCTATGTATGCATTTTAGTGGCACCTACTGATATACTGCTTTATTAAACAGTCAAATAATAAACCTAGAAGTACTGTAGGATATGTGTTTGCATACAATAGGATAATCCTTTTCTAGAACTTATATAGAGACATTTGGCACACAACTGTACCTGCTGCACTTTGCACCTGAAAGGATTCACTGTCAGGCAGGTTTCTAAGTCACACCACTTTATCAAGAACAGAGACTGTAAAATTCGGAACAGAGGAATTTCAGCTCATTGGCCATGGCAGAAGATTATCCCCTATCTTGGCCTAAATGCTGCATCTATCTGAACAGCTACCCCTAAGCTTTTTTAGGGCATCACTGGTAAAGCACAGGTATCTGCCATTAGGAACCTGAACAGAGGATCACGATTTTCAGTTTACTCTTGTAACCTTTACAGACAAAAAAAAAAAAAAAAAAAAAAAAAAAAAACCACACCAACAACAATGCTCAACAAATGTATGCTTGGTAGGTACTCTGGGAAATGATTTCCCTTTTCATTCACAGGCTCTTTCTTATCATGACTTCACTTAACCCTACTTACCCTGGTGAAAAACAGGCTCACAGATCTCAATGTCAGCTTGAAACTTTAGAATCACTTTAATTTGTGACTTTTATGATAACAAAATTTATACTTTCTCTCTACAGTGATCCTTATTACTCTAAGTTTGAAGCTGTGTCTAAAATACATCAGTGCATCTTTTCTACTCAGTTGCTGAACAAACTAAGTGGTATTGACTATTTTATTTCACAGATTCTCTTAAGGAGTCCCTCTCTCTCACTTGTAAATATAACCTTCTGGATCAAATACAAAAATTGCTTACATGGAAATGAGCTATTAGGAAATTATTAGTATTTAGCGTAAATCTGCTGACATTAATGCAATTTAGAAGCAGAGTAAACGGAAGCAGTGCCAGTGCTATGTCATCAGCCAGTTATCGCTAACCAAAGCTCTGCAAGCAGGTCTGATGATCTGCACAGCAAGTGTTAGACATGCCCAGCGCAAAACCTGCTAGGCGCAAGAACTACTTTTTCTCTATTGCACTGAAGGCAACGTAAGAAAACAGCAGTAAGAGAAAGGCAGCAGTGCTGCGCTGCTATCTGGGTTAGCAGTGTGCAGTGGTGGAAGGATGCAGATGCACACCTGAAAGGTTGCTCTGTAGGGATAGAGGAATGAAAGGGAGCTTAGAAAAGCAGCTAGTGCAAAAATGAACATGTGATGGGTAGGAACATGCAGAAGACTGAGATGGTAAAGAAGAGAGGTTAAAATGCAGCTTAATACACAAACAAAAAGGTGAGTCTTGCATTTTGACAAGCTCTGTTAGCTTATGCATTACTTCCTCTACAAGTCATTTTAAGAAAAGCTTCACAATGCTTCAAGG